TGTTTTTTTTTTTTTTTTTAATAAGACATCAGTGAACAAGTCAAAACACCCTCTTGCTGGTGGTTGAATCTGTAAAATATAAAACCCAAGATCTATTGGGAGCCATATGTGGAAAAGTGTGTGTGCGTGTGTGTGTGTGTGTGTGTGTGTGTGTGTGTGTGTGTGTAAAGCTTGTCTCTAGTGAGTGAGAACGAAGAGGATTCAGAGAGAAGAGGAGTGAAAGATCTGAGAGTGTAGGGGCTCTTGGTTCCAGTTGTTTCTGATGCTGCATCCTTGCCCCTCCTGCTGGTTGGTTGTCTAAGCTCGCCTTGGGTTCTGAGGGCAATGTAATTCCTTTTATGCCTAAGCTTGTTTGATTCAGGTTTCTCATGCGCAACCTAGATAACCCACTGCCTATTTCTTTTATCTTTGAAGTTACTCAGAGGTATCTACACAGAATTTCATTTTTAACAACCTCTCCTCCTGTCTTCAGTTTAATTTCCTTTAGAAAACTCTGGCCATGAAATCTGCACTACTGTAGACTAGGGCAGTTTTTCTGAAAGTATATTTTGTGAGCTTTTCCATGAAAAAGAAGGCTTCCATGTTCAAAGGCATTTGGGAAATAAATGCTGTATGCAATATTCTTATCTTGCAGATTTATGATGTAGCATATTAAAGAATTCCTGCAATGAATACGTGTGTTTAACGTTGTCTAGCCAGGATTCCCTAGATTATTTTTGGACCCTGGATCCTTTTCATTCATGTAACATATGATATCCCAAACTCCTCATGGTGGGGCCCATGTGGGGGCATACTCTCTGGGTTCCCATGTGACTTAGCCCATTTCCTTTAAGATGGCATATTATCAAGGTACCCTGTGCAGAGATGCTTGAACAAGGGGCAACTTGGTGTTTGCCTTGGTGGGTGCGGGAGGAGGAGCTCATTGCCAGCTTGGAGGAAAGGATATTTTTGATAATTTTCATGAAGTCACCCTCTGCTTGCTAAACATGAGCCTATAGCCTGGATCTACCCAAAGGGTGGGGCTTTCTCTAATTCATGCCTTGGCACCACATGTGCTAATGATGGTCTTGCAAACTTCTGCCACCTCCCACAAAGTTCCTTCCTGTTAATCAGGGTTATGCCCTGAGAAGTGGGTTCCTCATGGCTTTCGTAAATTTCTGAGAGGGAGGCTGCCCATGAGGAAAGGCAAGAATGTACCAGAGACTCTTCTTTGAGCAGATTGGGACTTTCAGATGTCTGGGTGGTGTGGACCCCCGCCACAGGTGTGGGATATTTGAAATATCTGCTGCCTCTGGGGTTTTCTGACTGTCTTCTCACCTACCAATCTCCATGATCATCCTCCCACTTTTTACAGTTTGCAGAGAGGCCACATTTGAGCCCTTCAGCCATCCTGCAAAGTCGAGGGTTTTATTTGTCTTTCTTAATAGACAAGGAAACTGAAGCTCACTCATTGACTTCAGTCACATAGCTAGTGCAAGAGGAGCTGGGATTTGACTTTGGGTCTACCTGACCCTGTCATGCCGTTTTCTCTATCTACTCTTCCACCTCTGTCATCAAGCTGCCTGTGGACCGTCTCTCAACAGCCACATTTCCATTCCTTTCTTCTCCACTATTGCCCTCCCATAAGAGCCTGGGATCCTTCCTCTGGGGATTGAGAAGTGGGAGGGTTGGGGAAGTGAGATGGAATCTGTGAGGCTACACTGACCTGGCTGTGTCCACATCTCTTGGGAAGATGACCCATTTTATAGAGTCACCTCCATGCCGGGTATGTCTGTGCCTCCTCAGGGGGCTTCACAGACCAACATCCCTCACCTGCCAGAGCCCACCTCTTATCCTCCAGCAGGTGAGCTGGCTTCTCTCCCACCCACATGGGACTCATCCCCCATCAGCCCAGGAAATAAGCAGCCTTGAGGTGACAGAGCCTCCCAGAGGTGGCTCATTGCTTAGAGACCTCTCAGCCTGAAGAAAGGTACAATAAAGAAAGACTTGATGGAAGAATTCAGGGGCCTGGCTGGGGGCCTGGGAGAAGTAACTGGACCTTGGCCTCCTTCTCTGAGGGGGACCAATGGGGACAAGGAGTTCTGCCTGTCACTCAAGGTCATGGTGAAAAGAGGACCAGGGATGAGGAATATTATGACCCCAGGAATATGGGAAATGGCTGAAACGGTCAAAATTCAAGAAACCTACTGGAGCAATGAGAAGCTGCATTTCAAAAACTAACTACTCTCCAGTGTGGGAGTTGCTGGCTTCCTGTGGCTGTCTAACTTTAAATTGATAAAAATGAAATTATGATTAAAAATTCAGTTCCTCATTCTCCTAGCCACCTTTCAAATGCTTAGTCACTGTAGGGGGTGAGTGACTAATGTATTGGACAATGTAGAACATTTCCATTCCCCCCGGATCATTTTATTGGATAGCATTGATCAATTTCTTCTCTAACCTGTTATTTCTGACCCCACACCCTGCCCACCCCTGCTTTAAACCCATCCTTCTTTATGTAGCCTGCTTCTCCAACTGCCCAAACTCAAAGGAAGCAGTCTAAGTAGATCTAGCTGGTCTACCAACGAGGATAGCTCCCATTCCTGGCAGGAGTGAGAATGGAGCTCTTGGGTAGAACTTGTGTGCACACCTTGCTTCCTAATGAAATAAACTCCTGAAAGGCAGGATCTTTATCCTGTGTCTTTTGGATCCCTGACAATAACTTGCACTGTGTTAGGAATATGGCAAGTCCTTAGTCAAAATTATAAATTTGCTCTAAATTGGTATAGCCCATGGCCCAGTTGGGCTGACTGATGGTCCATGAGCTGGGATGGTTCATGAGCTTGGGTCAGAATAGTTCTGGCTCAGTCACTGCATGACTTCAAGTGCATCACTGTTCCAAGCCAGGTCTCAAGAGAACAAGAAGTTTGGTCTGGAAGAAATAGACTCAGAGGTTCTTTCCTGCTCTGACCATTTGGGCTTTGGGAGGCAAAACACAGACTTCCTTGGGGGTAGCCTTGTGGTCAGAGTCCTAGTCAGTGTTCAGACCAGTGGCCAGTGCTTCCTATGGGGATCTGGACTGTGTGAGATGCCTGTGATGGGGTTGCCTGGCATTGAGAGCATGCGTGTGTGTATGTGTGTATGCGTGCATGTGACTATATATGTACTTTTGCTCCTAAGTCAAGACAATGGGCTGAGAAATCTGACATTACATGGAAGGGCCTAACTTCTGTTTAGACTTTGAGTGTGGGTCTCCAGAACTCATTTTATTTCCTTATTTCTCTCCTTTTCCACAGATGATTCAATGAACATATAAGTCCTTGTGTCTGCAAGAAAGTCCTCTCTTTGGGAACCAAGACCCAGGCCCCAGGACACAGGGTTGTCTACAAGTCTCCATGGTCACAGACCCAGGTTGGCTCCAGGAGACCCTGGAGAGTTGGGTCCTGTGCACCTGTCCTCAGGGATGCCAGAGTTCTGCACTGACACAAACCTTCATCTCGCTGCATCTGGAGGGGCACTTGATTTAGAAAAGTAGACAAGATCAACAAAGTGTCTCCTTAGTGAGCGGCTGACAGGGCTTGGAGTGCCCTGGAGCCTGAGTAGACTGCCAGATGGCATTGCTGCCATGACACATGTGTGTGACCATTTTATCTTTCAGTTGAGGGAGTAGAGGGAGTGAGGTAAATGGCCATGCCTGCCTCCCTGCATCAGAGTGCTCATGTGAGAGGGGCTGGAAGGAAGAAAGGAGAGGATAGTGAGGCGAGAGTCTGCAGTCAGTCACCCTCGGGGGGGTGAATGCCTTTGCTGCCTCAGCAGCCTAAACGGCCTGGACATGGTGAGAGCTGGAACCCGGAATCTGGGAAATCACAGGCTAGAGGTAAGAGGTGGGGGCTGGGCTGCCTGGCCTCCACTGCTTTCTTAGCCCCAACAGGAGGACCCAGGGGCTCTCTCCTGATGGAATCTTCTCTCCCCTGCCCCTCTCCTTCTGACCTCTCCCCAGGCTTCTCTCTTGGTCCCCCTCTGCAATCCTCCCATCATGCCCTGAACACAGTGTTAACCTTACTTTGGGTCTTCCTTGCATTTCTGGCTCCCACTCTGGGGCACGTCTTTACTGTCTTTTCCTGGTGAAGTTCTAGAGGTTGCCAGCATTCCTTGGTTTGTGGCTGCATCACGCCAAGCTCTGCTTTTATCACACACTGCCTTCTCCTCTGTCTGACCTCCCTGTGCCCCTCTTATAAAGATGCTTTTAATACACCAGGCTCACCTGGATAATTCAGGACCATCTGAAGACACTATTCAAATACCCCATACACTATGATGCTTTTCCTGAGCCCCATCCCCTGTGATTGTGTCTCCTCCTCTAGGCTGTGATCAAGGACTTGGTCTGTTTTTGCCTTGATATCCTTCCTTTGGTGCAAACCCTGAGATAACACGCATGGTTAATGACTAGTCTGCTGAATAAATAAATGAATAAAAGAAGGTGTGAAATAAGTTTCAGTGCCTATACACCTGGGTCTCCCAGTGGCTCACACAGGCACAGTGCCAGGTACTTGTGCTTTGGTTTTCCAACAGTTCACAGTCCTCCACCTTCCCCCAGTGGGCAGGAGCCTGCTTTCTTTTTTGGTTGGACCCCCAGGTGGGTTGGGATACTCAGAATGGTGGGGAGGTAGAGGGGAGTGAGGAGGGAGGGAGGCATGTGATTCTTTCCTCTTCTCCCGAAATCAAGCCACCCACCTGCCCAACCACACCTGCTACTGTAAACCTTTCCCATGCCTCCCTCCTCTTGCCTACTTTCCCTCTCCAGTATTCCATCCTCTGCTCCTCCCTCATCCAGTGAAATCTGAGGAAAACCAGGGCATTTCGCCCTATCTTTACCATTCACCACATACTACCAGCCCCTTGCTGGAGAGCAGTTCTTCACAGGGTGGGCAAGACAGCCCACCTGAATCAAACCAGTCTTTCTGAGTGGGTCCTGCACACATCAGTTGTCACCCAGTGCCCGGCCCCTGTTCCCAGCTCACCTGTCTCTCCCCAGATGGGCAGGTACTCATCTTGCTGAATGTCCAGCATGATCTCCAGCCCGTTGCCTGTCCCCCCCTTGACCGTGGTGAGCAGAGGTTTGCCATCCTCGCCTGAGTTAAACATGTAACACTTCCCATATTTTGTAAACACCTGAAGGAGAGAAGAGAGAGAGAAGCACATGGGTGACTTCAGATGGGGGGTCCAGAGATGGGCAAGATCCCAGAAATCTGACAACAGGTCAGAGTCCCCACAGGCCATCCCAATCACCCCTCTTGGGGACTAATGATTCTCCACCCTGGCTCATGGCTTGGCTTTTGCCAAGTGGAATTCTGGTATCTAAGACAACATCTGGACACATTTAGGGGCTTGCTACAATGACATCTGGCCTCTTCTCCTTCTGAACACTACCCCTATGAAGACCTGTTCATGTCTAGGCATTAGATTTTATCTGCAAACTCCTAACTCTCCAACCCACACCTCTAACTCTGAGCTCTCTCCTGGACTCCAGACACACTGATGTCACCCATTGTGAGAGAAGAGTTTTTTCAAGGTATCACACAGACACCCCTCCCATACTCAGCTAGTCCCAGAGGACAAGCTTCCCCACCCCATTGGACAACTCTCTCGAATTCCTGCCCCAGAGAACAGCTCACCACCAGCCAAGGGGATCAAGCCAGACCCTCAAAGTCACTGCCCACTCTTTCTCTTCCTTAGTCCCAAGTCCAATCAACCCATAGAGCCTGCCAATATTTTCTTTATCTCTATCTTGAATATAGTGTTTTCTCTTCTATCTTGTAATTTAGGACCCAAGTGTTTCTTGCCTAAGCCATTCTGGTCCCTAGCTTGAGTTCCAATCTTCTCCAGCCCATCCTCTTAGCTAACCATAGCTCATTCTTTCTGGAACACATCCCTGATCCCATTCATCTTGTGCTGAAAACCTATCAGGGTTCCCCATGCCCCTTAGGCTAAAATCCAGATCTGCCACCCCCAGTCTTCTATGATGCCCTCCACCTATTATTCCTCCTACCTTCCACCCTGCTGCCTCCCGCCTGAGAACACAGGCGTCTACTACAAGGTAGACTCCATGGGCTCAGGGATGATGCGTACTTGCTCATTAAAGTATCTATGCCTAGTAAATAGCACAGTGCCTGGCACATGGGAGTGTGCCAGAAATATAGGTTGAATGAATGAATGAGTGAGTGAATGGGTGGAGTAAGAGCAGACAAACTGCAGCAGCCCCGGACATGCCCTGCTGCTTCACACCACGTATGGCTTTCTACTTGCTGCTTCTGCTGCCTTTACCGCCTACCTATGCCTGGACAACCTCTGCCTGGACAACCTCTAGCTGCTCTCCAAGACTGGATCGATGCATTTCCTCCTCCAGGAAGTCTTCCTGAGGCCCTAGGTCAAGTTGGGCTACTCCCCCGCCTTGCTGTTCCCCTTGCTCCTTCCCCAGGGTACTGATAGCATGACGCTGAATAGTGGGGTCTACATCTTTCTTGAACTTGACTCTGCCTCTCATTTCTGAATCCTGGCACTTAGTACATTGCTGGTATGCAGTAGGGGCTCCGTCCGCTTTTGCTTGATGAACCATGATTACAAAGTGGTGATACAGAAAAAGCTGAGGGCAGGGAATGTGCTGTCCAAGGTTTGTCATGGCCACTTACTAGTTGTGTGACTTTGGCTGAACCAAAGAAGCCCTCCAAGTCTCAATTTTTTCATCTATAAAATGGGGGTTCTAGTCCTTGCCTTTGCTACCTCTCCAGGTTATGGAGAAGATCAAATGAGGTAATGCATGCACAAGTGCTTTAAAACTGTAAAAGCTTTCTACAAATGCTGTGGGGTTATTATCATTATATAACTGCTTTGGAACCTTGAGCTAAAGCCAAATTACATCTGGCAAAATTGGCTGGAAGAGATCCAGGCCGACTGTATTGGAGTCCTGCAGCCACTGAGATTTGGGCCCAGACACCTTTCTGATGGTGCTCCACTGCCCTGCCCCATCCTGTAGCTTGAAAGCTCCAGGGAGGCTCTTTGGCTTCCCATCTTTCAGTGCAGGGGCAAGTAAATAGGAATTGTCTCAGTGCTTCCCTGTGTTATCTCATTTAACTCTTGCAACCATGACCATTGGTGGTTATTGCTGCTCCCACTGGGCAGAGGAGGAAACTAGGGCCCAGAGAGGTTCAGTAATTTGTCTAAGGTCACACTGCTAGTAAGCAGAGCACCTGGGATTCAAATCCATGTCTGTTTGATTCCAACACTTATGCTCTTTCTGGATGTACTGTCCTGGGAGGGACATGAGGGTTTTTGTCATCATCACACTTCCAAGTCACATTTTCCTTTCTGCCTTGCTTTTTCCATTAGCCAAACAAGGTTCATGTGCATGTGTTCCTACTACAAAGAAAGAGTACAAGCCCTACTGCCTGCCTTTAGGACCTATAGGAAGGTTAGCAAAACACCAGATTCTATGTTTTTTCCACTATGCAAAACAGCTGTGTCCCCGGGCCAGCTGTAGTGTCTCTGGAGAGTCAAGCCTTACTCTCTCAGCCTCATGGCAGGAAAGAACAGCTGGAACGAACGCAAAATCAAAAGCAAACACAGTTTTTCCAAGAACCAAGTTTTATCATCACTATTGCATACAGCAATTGAACTTGGCTAATGAACTTGTCCCCTGGAGAGATACTTTTGAGGAACACTGTCATGAACAGATAAGAGCATTTCATAGTTAGCACATCCATTGCAAGGAATTGAACACATCTGGAGTGACTTCTGGGGTGTTCCAATAGACTTTTCTTTGTAGACACTCTAAATATCCTACCTCCAAAATTACTTATATTATTAATTTGCCTATCTATACACAGAGGTTTGTAAGCAAAGGTATATTTCAGCTTGGCATCAGATGATTGCAAATTCCACCTCCACCACTTGGCCCTCCCCCACTAGTTAGTCTTTGAACTTCAGGAATATTGGACTGGGGTTAGAACAGAGTCTACTCCTGAAATCAACTGTGATCCCAACCCTACCAAAACATTTATAGTAGCATTGGTAATGGTATCGATCCTCCCTGAGCATCTGAAGATGAGGTGTGAGAACCGAAAGGGGTTTTAAAGATCATCTTGTTTACCCACCCTACTCTATAGAGAAGGAAACAGAGACCTGGAAAAGAGGAAGTGACTTGCCAAGGGTTATGAAGCAAGAAAGTGTCCAACTGGGACACTGTCCTTCCTTTATACCAGCCTCCTTCAGTTTCTCTACTTATGAGAAGAGATGGAAAGTCTAGGGGATTGCTAGGGCTCCCTTATCTGTGAACTTCAATTGATAATTGACTGTCTGCATTGATTATTTGTTGAAGCTTCATGAACTGAAGTTTTTGCCTGTGAAAGTGGGAGCAGACAGGTCCTTATAGTGAGAGAGTAGAGAATTGTTCCCCATCCTTGACTGCCCCCTTGCCAGGGCTGGTCCCCATCCTAGCCCAGGCAGTGGCCCTTGCTGGTGCTCTCAGTGTCAGTCTGATTTTTCCTGCTCCTTCTCCCCAGTGCAGGGTTACAGCTGGCACAGGTCAAAGCTTGGTCAAAGGTGGTGGTTACCATAGTGGCAGGGGTGGGAAACCAGAGGGTGACTGAAGCCAAATCTGAGAGATGGCCAAGTGACAATCTATGACAGCCAAATTCTTTATCAAATCAGGACTACCAGGAGGAGATCTAAAATCCTGTGACTTCCGGTTGCTTTTAGAATAAAGTCCCCAATATCCACTGGGGCCCTGTATGGTTCGGTCCCTCTCCCCTTTTTTTCCTCTCTTACGTTTCAAACATACCAGCGTCTTTGGCTCCCAGAGTGCACAGAAAACCCTTCCCCCGCTGGGCCTTTTCACATGCCATCTCTTCTGGTTAGAATGTTCTTCCCACATGCTTTGCCTGGTGAACTCCTGATCAGGTCTCAGCTTAAAAGTCACTTCCTCAGTAAGGTCTTGCTCTAATACCACCCCCCCATCACCCTGGCTCTCAGCCTCCATTTATACTGGGGCTTCTTGTTTTACAACCTCACGCCCTCTCTATTTTTCCATTATAGTGTCTATCACAGTGTTAACTAGATGGTTATTTATGTGATTATTTGTTGAATGTGTTTTCTGCTAGACTATAAGAGGAGGGCAGGAACTGTGCCTATTTTGCTGAATGAATGAGCAAGTGAATGAATGATTATCTAGGTGCCACTGCCCCCCATTTCCTTTTCCACCCCTGGCAAGCACCCTTAGGTGTTGGCTGGCCTCACCTGGTTCTGGCCGGAGCACAGCCAATATCTTGTCCAACTCCCCCTCTCCCCTTTTTCTGCCTTCTCTGCCTCCTGCTTAATTGTACCTAAGCATTTTTGCTTGCTTCTCCATGAAGGTATTAGAGGAAATAATCCTTTTAGGAAATAAGACGATTGGGGATAGTTTGCCTTGGTGGGCGCAGGCAGAGGGGCTCAGGGAAGGCAGAGAGCTCGCATGCTGGCTGCATGCCCTTGTCGGCCTACCCGCCTGGGCTGCAGAGCTTGTCGCTCCTACCTGGCTTTTTTTTTAGAGGATTATTTTCCTCTCAGCTCAACATCAAAGGCTGAGAGCTATTTACACACAGCACAATTCTGCTACAAACTTGGGACAATACACAGCTCCCCTTCCACATTTCAGGGCATAATGATGTGTAAGAACACACGCTTCAAATTTACGCCTTATCGCCCCCAGCCAGAAAATACAATTTATTTAAGTCCGGACTGTCAGGTTGAGCTCGCTGCTTCTTCAGACCTGCCATTCTGCCAGACTTTTCTCTGCCTTCCTGGTAAGTGCTGACAGCCCCATTGTGGATGGTAGGGCTGGATTCGCCGGGATGGTAAGAATTAGGAATTGCACTTAGTTGGATGGGTTTATAAGAATTAAGGGAGAATTAAGAAAGATGCACATTTCTTTTTTTTTTTTTTCAGTCGGAGTCTC